TTGGGGAAATTTGCATTTGGACTTTATATTTGAGAGTAGTATTTAAAGAAATTTTTTTTTGGTACCAGGGATCGAACTTGGGATTTTGTGCTTGCGAGGCAGGCGGTGGAACCACTGAGCTAAATCCCTGGCCTGAGAGTAGTATAATATCAACTTAAAAATATCTCAGGGTACTGAGTGGAGGCCGAGCAGGGGGTAACAGGGGCCCTGGCTGGAGGGCACCTTACCACTGCCACTGTTCAGGTTGCCAGAGCAGGGTGCTGGGGATAATGTGCCACCTGACAGCTGATTTTGTAATTTAAATTCTTTACACGCTGCACCATGAGTAGACCACTCCCTCACCTCGGTTTGCTTCTGAGGTTAGCTTTGTGATTATGAAGGAGAACAACCTTGTCCCTCACTAGAAACTAACAGGCCATTGCACAGAGTGCTGGGGATGAACCGTTGTGATAGCTGAAGTTTAGCTCAAGGAGAGAGGCTCATCTATTTGCATAATGGAAAGAGGGGGAGGGCAGAGTAGTAACAATTAGCGAATCTAGGTAAAGGGGTCTTCATACACATTATATCATTCTTTCACGTTTCTCATAGGTTAGAAAAATCCGAAGTGGGTTAATACCAAACCATGTCAGGCTTACGGCAGACCCTGAACAGATGTATCTTTCCCTCTCCCCCTCCCTCCCTTTGACAGGGTCGGGCTGGCCATGGACTCACAATCATAGTCCAAGTTGGCCTCAAACTCAAGATCCCCCTGCCTCAGGGCTGGAATCACAGGCACATGCCTCCATGTCCAGCTAGCATCTTTCTTTCTTGATGTGGCAGGATGCATTTAGTTTGGGCCTCAGAGAGGTTAGTGTTCTAGGACTTTCCAAGGATAGAATACAGCCCCCTCATCTTCTGTGTACTTGTCTGGCAAAATACTGGTTTAGATGGGCCCTGGAGAAACCTGTCATCATGTTCTTAATTTTGTGTGACTTTTACAATCTGAGTAAAGGAGGGCCAGGGCTGGGCTTTATTAATAGGAGGTAATGTGTGTGTGCTGCCGAGGCAAGGACACTAACAGGAGATAATGAGCAGTACCCTGTCCCTGTGCTCTGCTGTAATTGTTTTGGGGCTCGAGACTAGCCTCACTTTTCTCTGGGACAAATAGGTGCTTGCCCAGGGTGCAAGGGACCATGTGAGTAGAAAAGCCCACATGTCCCACGGGTCATGGCGTCCTGGTGAAATGGAATTGTCTCCCCTCGGAGGTGACACAGGCTGCCTTTGTGCCGAGACCCTGCCTCACGTCAGTGTCTCCCGGAATTCTCTCTGGACTCAGTGCCCTGAGCTGACCCACGTGGATGGAGGTAGACTCGGTCTCTCAAAAAAATGGACATGGGGCCGGGGATTTAGCTCAGTGGTTTTGCCACCTGCTGCGCAAGTGCAAGGACCCGAGTTCGATCCCTGGTACCAAAAAAAAAAAAAAATGTACATGGTGTGTTTAAGCAGATCGACAATCCAATCCAAGAAATATGTTCTCACTTGGTCCAGATGTAAATCCAGTACTCTCAATTGGGTGACATCGTTCCCACCTGCATGAACTCCACAAGCATTGGCCTCAACCTCTCGCTACTTTAAAGAAACAGCATTTCTTTTCTGCCGCTTGCTTTTTTGTCCTCACCTGTGGTCCTCACAGTCCCCTGGGGGCTCAGGGGTAGGTTCAGCATGGGCTCCCAGGCAGCCCTGTCACCTGCATCTTCGAGAGTCCTCATCACCATGGAGATGCCGGGGCCCTGTCTAGATACCTGCACTGTGGCCATGAACCAGGCCGCCAGCTTGGCAATGGCCTCAGCTCTGGCCTGGAGGACGTAGCGGGAGATCTCACAGGTCACCACCTTTCCACTGCAGTCAGCATGGAGCAGGGCTTTGGCCTGCAGGATCTGTACCTGGTCCACTGGGGAGAAGGAGTACACAGAGGTCGGGCTGGGTGTGAGCAGGGACAGCAGGGACTGAGCCATCCCAGGGGAGGGTGCCCAGATGGGTAAGAACACAGGGTGGACACCGCCTACCTGAGGCCTCGAAGATGACAGTTGGGTCATCCTGGGCCACCATGTCTGCTTGGAAGTCAGTGAAGCCTTCCAGGGAGCCGTCGTCCAGCACCGGCACCTGCCTCAGCACCAGCAGGGCCTTCTCCCTGTTCATATCGCCAGCAAAAGCCCCATGGTGCCTGGCCTCTGTGCCCAGAAAGCAGTCTAAGATCACATCCACTGGCCGCCGTTGCTGCTCTGCTGCCTGGGGCTCTGCAGAGGACATCTGGGCTGAGCATCCTCACTCAGGTTACTTCCCACTGCCTCCCCCTGAGCCCCAGATGCAGACTGAGCTGTCCTTGGGGCCCTGGTGCCTCTGTTACCTGCATTCTGTCGTCCTCCTGGTTCGCTATGCTTGGCAAATACTTGGTGGTGTGAATTATTATCATTATCGGTATTATTTTGGTACCGGGAATTGAACTCAGGGCCTCGTGCTTGCCAGGTAGGCACTGCATTACTGAGCTATATCTCTGGCCCCAGTGTGAATTATTATTATTATTATTTAATTTTTGGGTTTTTTGAGACAGGGTCTTGGTATGTAGTTTAGGCTGGCCTTGAATTTGGAGCAGTCCTCCTGTCTCAGCCCTGGGATCATAGGCATGCTCCACCATGGCCTGGCTTTGCTGTAAAAAAATTTTTTTTTTCGAGACAAGATCTTGCTATGCAGTTCAGGCTGGCTTTGAACACACTATGTAGCCCAGTCTGGCCTCCAACTCACAGTGATCCTCCTACCTCAGCCTCCTGAGAGCAGGGATTACAGGCTTATGCCACCATGCCCGGCTGCTGTGAGTTATTTAAAATCCTGGACCTGCCAGGGTTCATGCTCTTACTCTTATTCCAGTTATGAATGAAAGACTGCTTTTTCAGTCAAAGAGATTCCCAACAAAAGCAAGTAAGTGAGCAGGTACTAATGTAGCAAGAGGAGCCTGGCACTTGCTATTGCTAGGCGGTGACCCATCTTCCGGTTTCCCAGCATGCCACCGAGTCTGCTCTGCTCTGCCACTGTGTGGCCTCCCAGTCCCACCCAGGCCCCTTCCCGAGATCTCCTAGGCTAGGGAGTCCCCTCCAGGCCAGCGCCCCGCCCCGGACTGGCTCCCCTGCCCTTTCGGAGAGGAGCCCTCTACCCTTTTCCCTGCAGGGTCCTCAGCCTGCCTCCCCACCATTGGCTCTTGAGCTTGCTGACCATGAGCCCTTCCCCTAGTGGGCTTAGGAAGCCATCCAAAGCCGAGCGTTCCTGGCCCCGTGCCCTTCTGGGGCCCTGGAGGGGCGGCCACCGGGGCCCCCAGCCGGCTTCCCCAGCCAGCCCTCCGACTCCACTCACCGGTTCCCGCCGCTCCGGACAGTGCCGAGCACAGCAGCAGCCCCCAGCCCCACGCTCCGCCCATGGGGCTGCTCTCCCCGCCTGCCTCCCACCCAGCTTGGAGAGCTCTCCCAACACCCCTCCTTGGCCTTGGGTTTCTTCTCAGTCCTCTCTGGATCTCTCTTTCGCTTTCACTTGAGCAGGTGTCCCTGTGACTGCCTGTGCCTCTAGGCGAAGCCAGAGTCTGCTCTGTTCTCCTGCTCCCCACCCCAACCCCCTCCACCCCTAAGTTGAGTCATGTCTGCACCAGGAAAGCGGGGCTGTAAACCATGGGGAGGGGGCGCCCAGGGGCCACACCCACTCCCACCTGGGCGGGAGCTGCTGCCCGTGGGACTGCAGCTGCAGAGAGGAAGCCCGGGCTGCGGGGTGGCAGCTGGCACTTTTATTTTGCCCACGTTGTCTTAGGTCTTTGGAGACGGATACAGCGCGTGGGGTTTTCACCCAGAGAGTGTTTTACAGCCAAGCCCGGGGCCTCCTGCAGAGCAGGGCCGCACTCCGAGCTCCTGTCCTTGTCACTGCCAGTCTAGGAAAGGCACTTCGGCAAGTGCCAGCGAAGGTCCGGAGGAGAGGACTGTATGGGCCGGATCTCGCTGTCCGGTGGCCAGGGCTTGAGTGTGGGTGTTCAGGCTTAGCAGGGCGGTTCTGGCTTCCAGTGGTCCTCCTGGACCGGGACGGTGTGGCCCTCCTCCTCCCTCGGGCAGCTGTAGGGACAGGGCTCCACGGGCTCCTCCGGCTCCGCGCCTCTGTCTGCGGGGCAAGAGTGATGTGGAGAGGGCGCCTGAGGCGGGAGGCGATGGGCTTGAGGTGACAGGGCTGCCCGGAGGGATGGGAAAGCGGGAACTGGGCCGGCGAGCCGGGCTGGGGAGGCTCCGGGGGTCCCAGTGGGCAGCGGGCTGAGGTGGCGGGGTTGGCGCAGGCGCAGGGCAGGACGGGAGGCCTGGGTTCTGTCTCTTACTTGCTCCGCATTCTCTCTGTTGGTGGAGGAATAGGGCTCCGCCCAGGGCGAAAACAAAAAGCATTCCGGAGAAGATCGTGACGACGCGGGCGCAGTCTGCGCTGCACAGTGACTTCGGGGCTGCGGGGCGCATGGGGTCCCGGAGGGTCTCACCCCGCTGTCCTGCTACCCTGCGCCCCGCACCGCACCCACGGACCTGCTGTCCTTATCAGCAGACTCTGTCCCTCCTCTCACCCTCTTCGGAGAAGCATCCCGCCTGGCTTTGCTTTCTCCCTGGGCTAGGGATTAGGGCGAAACTCACTTGGCCAGGGGGTGGGGAGACCTGGGCCCGGCCTCTGCTTGAGGTCAGCTGGAGTCTGCACCTCCCTGACTGTCCTGGCCTCCAGCACCTCTGGGGAGACACCGAGTGAGCCCCCAGGAACCTCGGGCAGGTGTGGGGTGGGGAGTACTGGCCGAGGTGCCACCCCACTCTGTGACTGGACCCCGGGGTGGGCTGGAACTTACTCTCGGCCAGAGGTGACAGGCTGGGGGCACGGGGTGGGCCCGGGGCCACAGGTGGAGGAGCTGGAGGGTCTGGGAGGGGGTCACACTCCGTGCACTCTGAGTCCCTGCACTGGTGGCCCGTGGGGCAGGCACACTCGGTGTTGGCGGTGATGCTGCAGTTGTGGGTGGGAGTGCCTGGCAAAGAGGAGGGCCGGGAGCAGAGGACACTGGGCCTCAGCCACCTGCGGGTCCACGTGTTCAGCCCCCAGCCCCATTCGGGGACCCTTTCCATTCCCTCTCCCTTACCCCACCCACATGAGGACCTGCCCCTCCCTCGTGGTCACCTGTGGCCTTCACCATTATTACAGCTGTGATTAAAGAAGAAAGCTGGCCAGGTGAGGTGGCATAGGCCTGTAATCCCAACATTCGGGAGGCTGAGGCAGGAGGATCGCCAGGAGTTCAAGGCCAGCCTGAACTACAGAGTGAGTTCAAAGCCAGCCTGGACTACGTAGTGAGACCCTGTCTCAAAAAAGGAAAAAAAAAAAGAAAAAAAAGTTGGCCATTTCAGAAAATTCTTAGGCTCAGAAATGGAAACTGCAAAGCAGAAAGAGCTTACATCATTTAGTTTCATTACTCAAGGATACGTTATTAGCTTCTACTGAAGTGCAATATGTATGCATAGAGGTACAGTATCCTAAGTGGAAGCTTGAGGTCATATTAGACTCACAGGTGTCCCAGCCCCAGGGAGTGGCCACGCCTGACTTCTAACACCACAGACCGATTGTGTGGGATGGGACAGTGCACTATGGACCATTTCTCTCTGGCTGCTTTTCCTGAGCCTTTGTGCGGTTTGTCTGCATGGGTGACTGGAATTGCAGCGAGTTCGTCCCAGCTGTGGTAGGAGCTCCTCCCCGTGTGGAGTTTCCTTCCTGCTTTCAGCTGACAGGAACTCGATGCGAGATCCTGACAGGTTGCTGACTTCCCTGGAGAGTTACTGCTGACAGACACTCTCTGCCTTTAAAATATGAAATTCCTCCAGTGGAGAGGGGCTCTGGGCCAGGCTGGCAGGTGTTGGGGCTGCAAGGAGGGGGACTGGGAGGTGGACAGTGACACCTGGATGTGGGCCGGGCTTGCAGGAGCCTCTGCTGCACACTCACTGAGACCCTGGTGTCCTGGGAGCCCCTTTTGTCGGATGGGGCAGAGACAAGGCACCTGCGTCCTTACCCCTGTGGCCTCTCCCTGTGGCTTTCGACCTGAACTTAGTTTCTTTGTGGCTGACCAGGAACTCGAGCCAGCCTGGAAAGGACCAGGGAAGACAGGAGACCCTGGGGACATGAGGGGGACAGTGGAAGGCTGGGGGGCTCATGAGGTTCTGCTAAGAGGGGAAGGGAGGGGTTGAGAACAAAGTGCCCCTGCCTGCAGGTGAGTGTGCATTCAGCGTGTCTCACCTGAGCACAAAAGCCAGCTCAGTTTGGGCACTTCCTCCTCTTAAAGACTGGAGAGACAGAGGGCCAGGTGTGGTCCTGGGAGCCTTCCCTAGTAGGTGCTGCCTGAGCACCTTGATCGAAGGCTGAGTCTCCCAGAGGAGACCCGTGCGTGGATCAGAGGTCTGGGGTTAGGGCAGGGGCCAGCCTGGCTCGGTATGTGAGGAGGGAAAGGACCTCTGGCGGGGCCTCCGTGAGTGGGGAGGAGGCTGTGATCGAAAAGCCCTGCAGAGGCAAGGTCAGTGAGGGAGAAGCTTCTGCCAACAGCCAGAGCCCAATGCTTTTGAGAACTATTTCTCGCATATTACAGATGTTGCCTGGGTGTGTGTGTGTGTGTGTGTGTGTGTGTGTGTGGGGCTGGGAACAAGACCTCGTGTGTGCTAAGTACACACTTTTCCACTGAGCTACAAGATGTAGCTCTTTGATTTGCAACCACAAAACTTTTCTTTTTGAAAGAAAACAGTAGAAAAAGACCTCGTGAGAACAGTCTCAGGGTGCGCTAAGTATTAGTAGTGGCTAGGAAGGGGTTCTCAGACGTGTGTTGCTGGAGAGCACTGTTTGTTCAAAGGGGCCACTTTGAAGCCTGCTCTTGTGGGGTGTGCTCTGACAGTTTCTGAATTTCTAGCTAAGATGGAGCAATAGCAATAGAGTTCATAAGCACAGCTACAGATACTGTGACTCTTAATTTTAAAGGAGATGAAGTTACAAAATGAGAAAAAAACACTGGCCATATACGTACTCATCCCCCCACCCAAAGGTTCTTGTGCAAAGGAGGTCATTGCCTCCTGGCTTCTATTATTATTTGCTTAGAAAAATGTATTGCTACTGTTACATAGCCGGCTTACAGATAAACATGCAGTCTGTGAACACAGTGTTTTATGGGTTGGGAATTGGTTATTTGTTGAAAATATGGGGTCTCAGGGTTGGTTCCCTCTTTGTTTATCCTTTTTTTTTCTTCCAGAGACAAGGTCTCCTTGTATTTCTCAGACTGGCCTTGAACTCCTGGGCTTAGGTGACCCTCCTGCCTCAGCCTCCTGAATAGCTAGGATGACAGGCATGACCTACCACACCCAGCCATGTCTCTCTTTCTATTGTCTCGATCCTATTCCTTGGCCCCTCCTCACTGGCCCCTCAAGCCTGCTTATGGCCTCCCCTGAAATAACAGATAACCCCACATCAACACCTGCCTTACCCTGGCACCCCACTTCCCAGGACTGACCTCCCTCCCCTGCTTCTCCCCCCTGCGCACTCTCTCGGGGTCGCTGCCTGCACAGCCTCGCCGTCTCACCCCAGTGGCAGTGGCGACAGCTCTCGCAGTGGCGCCGGCTGTGGTAGTCTGGAGCGAAGGAAAGGCCTGGTTTACACGGGTCACACTGAGAAGCCGCCAGGTCCTGGTCACAGTCCTTCACTAGGAACGTCCCTGCGAGCAGAGGGCCGGGTCAGGCCTGGGGGCTGCTGCAGGATGCCTGTTGTGCCTCCGTGGTCCTCTGGCCCCAGCACCAGGCCCTGCACATCCCTCCTTACCTGGCCTGCACATCTGGCAGCACAGCCTCTCCGGAGAGCGGTACAGCCTCTCTGGACAGCTCCCGGGGGCCGGGGTGGCCGAGAGCACAGCCAGGGCCCCCAGCACGAAGAGCCAGCCAGGGGGTGGCCAGGCCATGCTGCCCAGGGCGCTGCGCCTGCCTGTCGGCCACCGGGCACTGGGCTCTGGCACCTCTTTGCCTTTCCTGGGCAGCTGCCCTGCGTCAGCGGCAAGCTGGACCTGGGTGGTGGGCGGGGCTCTGTGTGGCCTCTTTTTTCTCACAGCAGCATCCTCCACCTCCTTCCCTTTTCCGCATAGTGGGGAGGAGGGTGTTAAAGGGCAAACCGAGACTCGCTGTTCTTCAAAGATACCCCACCACGTAGTCACCCACCTCTCTTACTTGCAGACTTGGACACCCAGAGCCCCATGTGGCTCCCTGTCCAGGCTACTGGTAATCTGCCTGTCTCCTCTCTCCCCCACTGCACCCCTTCTTTCAGAGATGAGCAGTTTTAAGAAGAAGGGGAGCTGGCCTGGAGACCCAGACTTTTCTTCCAAAATCTTGCGGTTGGAGAAATTTTGGAAGCCAGAATCCCCACGGGAGCTCCTGGTCCAGCAGGACTTCCGCCGCACAGCTATCAGACACGCTTCGAGGGACGCATCAGGGCATAACTGGCTTTGCATCAGTCGGGGTCTGCTTTTATGGCCAAGAGTGCTCGCTGCAGCATTGTTCAGAATCCAAGACCAGGGACTCGGGCCTGTAACTCTTCCTGTCACACTGGGGTAGGACATCGTGTGTGACCTCTGGTCTTCGTGCCTACAATACACGCACTGCCTACTGCCCACCAGAGCCTGCTCACCTGTCTCACCCAGTGCCACCTCACCCTCCCCTGCCTGCTCTGCCTGGGTTGTCATAGGATCGTCTCCCCTGTGCCTTAGGCCCTGGGGTGAGTTTCTGTGTGGGTCATGCTCTCTAGTTTCCCCCATTCTCCTGGGAATCTGACATGGGACATTGGACTCTGTTCTGGGACACGAGGGCCAGGTGTGCCCTCCACACTCTTGTGATCTCCCATGCCCGACAGGGAATGGCTTGCTTGTCCTGGGCCCTGTTCATTTGGGGTTTTGCAGTTTTTCCACGCTACTCATGAAATGTCACAGTCTTGTGGTCGCACCTGGTAGATCTGTCATATCTGTTCTATCTCACTCTTCAGCTTCCTTTCTCTTCATTTTTTCCATCCTCAGCCCCTCTACAGCTCCTCAGGGGGCTCTACTGAAGCGAGAAGCCACATGTGGTCACTGTCTTAGTTACTTTTCTGGTTGCTGAGACAAAATACCCAGCACCCAAAGTTAAAGGAGGAAAGGTTTATTTAGCTCACAGTGTGCAGAGGTTTCTGTCCACAGTCGGCTGGCTCCAAGGCGGGGTGGCACATGGCAGAAGGGCAGCAGTTCATGGCGGTGGAAGACAGCAAAAGCAACAAGGGACCTTACCAGCGTCTTTCTACCCCTTTTATCTTATTCAGACTACTTAGAGTGGGCAGCACTCAGACCCTTAATCTTAGTGCCCTCAGCCTTGCTCCACCAGGAATCAGGCACACACTCTAGACTCAGCCACTTCTGAGAAAGCACGAGGCTTTGGGGGACACCTAAACACAGCCATAACATTCCACCCCTGGCCCCCCAAGACTTGTGCACACCCCTTTATACAAGAAAGCATTTAGCCCATCTCCAAGAGCTACCAAAGACCTAACGGTTTCAGCATTGCTGAAAAGTCCAAGTCCAAAGTCTCCTCTGAGATTTAAGGCAAATTTTCAGTTGTGAGGCCCTGTATAAATGAAAAGAAAGTTAAACGCTTCCAACATTCAATAGCACAAGACAGACATTTCCATTCCTAAAGTTACAAGCGGGGATACAAAGGAATGGGACCAAAGCAAGTTCAAAATCCAGCAGGGCAAACATTAAATCCCACAGTTCCATTTCCAGCATCCCTGGCAATCTGTGGCAAGTTGTGAACTCCAAAGGGCTTGGGTGGCTCTGCCCTTGGGCACTTCTGGTGGTGGTAACTCCCTTGGTTACTCCCTCTCTTGGGCCGGCTCTGCTCCCTCCTTGCAATTTTCCTCATACTATCCATGTTCCTGGCTTTTCCAACCTTCTGGAGTCTCCACTGCACCTTCGGCTTCACACTCACAGCTTCACACACTGCCCTCTCAGGGGCACTGCCTGGCCTCCCAGGCCTCCTGAAATCTGGGTGATGCCTTCCTGACCCCACAGCTCTTCCATTCTGTGTGTGCCTAAGACCAGTGCCACGTGGATGATGCCCAGGTCTGCTGCCAGCTGGAAGGGGTTGAGTGCAATCACTGAGCACTCTGAACCCAATTCTGAGGAACAAATTCTCTAGGCTGCTGCCATTCTGGAACATGGTGCACCAGGGGTCTCTTCTCAAAGTAAAGTCTTTCACTTTTGCAATTTTGAGGCTGCAAAAGGTGGAGTCCTGTTGCTTCTTGTGATGCCCTCAGGTCATCTTTCTTACTCTCTTATTCCTTCTCAGGAATCAAGCTCTCCTCTGCTCTATCTTTGCAGGTGGCTACTTTACTGGAGCTTCCTTTCTGACCAAACTCAAAACATTTTAAACCATTCTGCTGGGCTCTTAGCTCTTGATTCTCAACACAGATCTGACTAAAAGCCCCCAACAGCAGCCATGCCATGGCCTCAACATTAGCCTGCCTTGAAATTCCTTCTGTGAGATTAATTAGTCCACTGCCCTTAATCTCAGTCTCAGGTAAGTCTCTGGACACAAACAAAATGCAGACAAATTTCCTGCCAAGCCATAACACACATCATCTGGGATCCAGCAGCCAATGCATTCTTCTTCCCAGCAGAAACCTCCCGAGTCTGGTCTTTAAGGGCTTTCTGGTCTTCTGAGCTCCGCCCAGAATCTCCCCTGCAGAACAGCCTAAGGCGTTCCAGCTCTGCTTCTGTAGCCGACATCTCCGACCCTTTCCTAACTCTTCCCTTGCCCACAAGCCAGTCACAAGGCTCTTGAGCCACATGGCCAGGTAATGTCACAGCAAAGACCCCACTTCTCTGGTACCAAATTTCTGCATTAGTTACTTTTCTCTCATTGCTCAGACAAAATACCTGTCACCCAAAGTTAAAGGTGAAGGGGTTTATTTAGCTCACAGTTCATAGAGGTTTTAGTCCGTAATTGGCTGGCTCCAAGGCGGGGTGGCACATGGCAGGGGACAACAGTTCATGGTGGCAGAAGACAGCAAAAGCAACAAGGGACCTTAAGAGCATCTTTCTGCCCCTTTTATCCCATCCAGGCTACTGGGATTAGGGTGGGGCCAAACCAGTCATTCACTAAACCACATGTAGTGGTTTAGTAATCACGCCCTTAATCCCAGCATCACACATTCCAGATTCAGCCACCTCTGAAAAAGAAAGCCCCCCTCATCTGCATGAAGTTTTGGGGGGCCATCTGAAAACAAGTCGTGACAGCTGCGATGTGGATAGTTGTGGGGAGTCATGTTTCTCATTCTCAGGCGGGACATCCTGCAAGGTCCCCCCACGGAGCCTGGTAACCTCAGGACCCGAGGGCTTTGCGTGACTGACAGTCTCACCCCATTCCTATGTTCGGGTGAATGTCCTCACTGCTAGCCAGGCCTTGTGGTGCACAACTGTAATCCCAGCTACTCGGGAAATGGACAGGAGTGTCTAGGCTTGAGGCCAGCCTAGGCAGTTTAGTGGAGCCCATCTCAAACTAAAAAAGAAAAAGGGTTGGGGATGTAGCTCAGTGGTACAGTGCTTGCCTAGCAAGTGCAAAGCTCTGGGTTTAAACCCCAGTACTGCAATGCAGATAAGCAAAACCAAACAACCCAACAACAAACCAGACTTCTCTGCTGGCTTTAACCCTCAAGACAGGGAAGGGGAGATGGGGCGGCAACAGGGCCTGTGGGAAGGGAGGAGACCGGAGAGGAATGGAGAGGAGGTGAGGTGGGGACCTCTGCGGAGAAACTTGCCAGAGGGACTAGAGAGCTGAGGGCCTCGGGCGGTGCCTGGACCAGGGACTGCTGCACACCTCAGGCCACCGTCCGTGGGGCAAGGCCCAGACTGCTGCTTAGCACTGTGGCAGGCTGCCTTCCTCCTGGACAGCCCTGGGCCAGACGAGCAAAGGTGGGTTTCTGGACTGGGTTCCTCTCTGGGGGAATGGAATGACCTGCCAGTGAGCTCTGCCCCACCCCGGCGAGCTCCCTGGATGGTTCCTTCCTCTTGTCCCCAGCCCTGAGGAGAGCAGCCTGCTGATATCTTCCTCATAGTCATCTACCACTACCTTCTCAGCCTCTGTAGATGCATGGTCTTCCCCACAAAGGCTGCTCTTTTCTTGAATCTGCAAAGACACACACAGAAGCCCCCGAAGCCCTTCTCTGTTTTGGGGGTGTTATTATGAAAGTTGTTGTTTCTCTAATTTCTTTTTTTTTTTTTTTTTGGTACCAGGGATCTAACTCGGGTCCTTGCGCTTGCGAGGCAGGCGGTGGAACCACAGAGCTAAACCCCTGGCCCTGTTTCCCTAATTTCTTTCAGTGAGTTTGTTATTTGTGTACAGAAGGGTGTTGATTTTTGAGTGTTGACTTTGTATCCAGCTATGCTACTGAATTTGGTTATTAAATCTAAAGGTCTTTTGGTGGAGTTTTTGGGGCCTTCTATGTAGAGTATCGTGTCACGTGCAAATAATGATAATTTAACTTCTTCTTTTCCTATCCTTATTCCTTTTCTTTCTCCTGTCTAATTGCTCTGGCTAATGTTTCCAGAACCACATCGAATAAGAATGGTGACAGTGGACATCCTTGTCTTGTTCCTGATTTTAGTGTGAAAGTTTTCAGTTTTTGAGCATTTAGTAGGATATTGACTGTTGGTTTTTCATAGATAGAGTTAATCAGGTTGAGATAAAGACCTTCTATTCCAATTTTCTGTAGGGTTTTTATCATGAATGCGTGTTGGATTTTGTTGAATGCTTTTTCTGCATTTATTGAGATGATCATATGGTTTTTGTCCTTGGCTCTGTTAGTATAGGATATCACATTATTGATTTGCATGTGTTGAACCATCCCTGTATCCTGACATGAATCCCACTTGGTCATGGTGTA